TTCGCGGACTGTACTATTATTTACGCTTACAGACGTCATATAGTTAGAAAAATTCACAGAAATATGTATCTTAAAGATTCCAATAAATTTTGGGCAAAATTTCTGTATTTTAAAAAAATTCTACTAAAATTATCGGTATGTTGACATCGCTGATGGAGAGGTACGGCGCACGACAAAAAAATTGAAGCAAAAGCATGCGGAATCCAAAATTTAACTCATTGATTTTCTAAAATTCGCGATATTTTTCAACAATTTTCTCAAATGTACCTTTAAATTGTTCTATTAATTTGTATTTAGATTTTGGACGTAATATTTGAAGTACTAACTGAAATATAATGATTTTTCTCTAATGCAATTCCCGTGAAAACGACTGTGAAAATGACGTCTCCTAAATTGACGGCGCACCACACTTATGTTAAAATATGTGTAATGCTCGATATATCGGCAACATAGATCCATAATATGCATAATAAAACATGAAGTAAACAAAGCTACTCGTGACGTTGGCCCACAAATAGCAAATTGAAATTTTAGACAGTAAGACCTCTTTAAAAAAGTTTTAAAGAGGTCTTTATAAGGGAGGACGGGAAGAAGATTATAGACGAAAAGTTAACTTTATCCGGACTGTAAAGAACGTGATTGAGAGTCATCAATATCACACTATATCTCATAAGTAGGTTTTGGTTTTAAAACAAAAAAAAAAAGAATATTCTTTTCTTGTTTTATAGATTTTAAGATTGACAAGAAATTGTGTTTTGATGTTGAGTAGATAAGGTAACTCAAACTATACATGTACTCAAGGGAAAATGTTGAGAAAATGAAAGCTCAATCACATATTTCTGATAATGCTTGTGACGTCGAAGATTTTGCTGCGCCGTGACTTAATGGTATGTCCTGAAAAATCACTCAAAATTACTACCAATTTCAACATTTTGATATGAAATTTTGAAGACCATATAAGTAAAGACTCTTTTATATTATTTGTGAAATTTTGCCCGATTATGTCGTCAAATATTTCTTCTGTGCAACAAGTCCGCGTAATTTTTGAACGACCCTCGTAGTTCGACTGATCTACCAAAATTTCCTACGCTTTTCAGAACATGTGTTTTTACTTTTATCTATGTGTACGACCATACCATTTATGAAACGAATTAGTGATTTTTAATTAAATTGTGTACATGTATTCTTTTGTAATTATAATGAATAATGATTCAGATGCTAATTTGATCGCGGAAACACCGCGAGATTTTATTGCATCGCGTTAACTCTGCAACATAGTAAAATTTCAAACGATGGAGAACCCAGCTGTATCCTAAAAAGCAGAATGCGTTTTAATTTGAATACATATTTTATATTTTAAAAGCGAAAATTAATTATTGAATGTGATAAATATCTTTCAACACACGCTACGAATTCTTCACTACGGTCACTTTAGAATTCAGCATGTTGGGGATAGACTTAAAAATGAGTCAAATTACTTCAATGAAATAATTGCTAGTATTTTGTATGACCTCCCCGCGAGGCCCTGCAGTGCAGACCCATGCTTTCCATCAGCCGCCCAAGGCTACCCCGAGGGATCTGTTGCCATTCCTCCTTCAATGCTGTCTGAAGCGCCCCTCGATTTTAGGGAAGTGTAAGACGACCTGAAATGTATTGCTAAAGAATGTTCCAGGCATGTTCAATTAACTTCAGGTCTAGATAATAACTTGGCGGGTTCAAACACTAAGTTGTTTCACTGTCCATGTACTCGTTTACGATTCGGACTCTATGAAGTCGAGCATTATCTTCCATTAAGATGGAAACTTCCACCGGAGTTCATGCAATACGTCTAACAATAGGATGAAAAAAATCATTTTGGTCCTTCAATAATGTGCAGATCAGTTTTGCAGTCAATTCTTATGCCTGCCCAAATCAAGACCAAACCTCCATATACTCTGTATTACTCAGAAATGACACAATCAGCATATATTTCCCCATTTGCAATCCAAACAAGTCTTCTGTGATCATGGAAGTCAAAACAAAATCGGGACTCGTCTGAGAGACTCTAATTTTAATGCGAAACGTACTGCTAGTCGGCAAGCCTTGAGATTTGCTTCCGGAAGTATGTTTCAAACCGTTCAAGTAGAAATCCGTCTGACCGTTGTTCTCTGATGCCCAGTATGAAGCTTAAAAGCACTTTGGAAGCGGTGCGTCTCAGCAAATTGGCAAAAAAACGATCCTCACGGACTGCCGTACACCTTGGACGTCCCGATTCTAGCCTTTTTCAACAATTTTCTGCCTGTAAATATCGATTCCATAACCGTTCATTTCGCTTTCGGAAGATAAAGTCTTTCTGCAACGTGACGTTGCGTTTTGCCCGCTTCCAGCATCCCTGCTGCCATAGAGTCTTCGTCCATACTCATATTCCTCATAGCGTCTTATCACCAGTTCTAGCCAGATATACTAAAGTTTTCTTATGTTCACTATAGAAATCCCTCTTTGATACGTCTATGCTTCCATTGTTCCACATACTGTCTAATGCCACGTACTTTCTTGACCAATATGTCCCAAAACTAATTAAAAACGTGTGACTTTATCGAATCGTGTGAATGACATGTTTTTAATACTACTTAAGCTTTGTTGTCACATGAATTCATGGGTATGAAAATATTATTTTCGTGTAAATATATGCTCCCAAATTTATTTAGCCCAGTATAATAAAATTAAAACAAAAATGTGATCTTCGGAATTTGATCTTTCATAAGGTAGTTGCATAATTTGTTCTAAGGTTCTGCTTCATATAAAATATTGAAAAAAATGTGCCTCAACATTTTTTTTTCATCTTCAAAGAAATTTACAAGGAATTGGGAAATGACGAATTTTATAAAGTGCATTGACTAGAGGGAAACCGAGTCATATATCAGTTTAATACGCAAATTTCGAGATTTTCTCCCTTGGTGCGCTCTTTCGTTACGGGGGTGAGTTTCGGTGGAGGTGGGACAGTTATTCATATATTGGATCAATGCATAATTTATATATACTGGTCTATTATGACTGCGTGATTGCAGATGAATTCTAAAAGACATAATCATCGTCCATTTACTTACGCACGTTTATAGACATCAATTAACAACCTGTCCCCTTTTCTGCTGATATGGATACTTTTTGCGCCTATATCATAGGAGCGTTACAATCTCGAAAATTGCGTATTAATATATAGTCACCAACCGTCCAAGGGATAAATACTGCATTTGCAACCTACACTGATAAGTCTTGATTTTTCAGAAATTCTCAGTGTCAAAGAGGGCCCAAAGTGGTTCTAGCTCTTTTGACAAGTAGGATATTAAGTGACTTAGATGTATTTTAATTTCCAGTGCTCTCTCTTTTTTTTTGACGTAAGAGAGCCGAGGCTATGAAAATCAATATGGAATATTTTAATATCTTGAGACCGCATTTTTTTGTTTTAATCTATATTTTAATTGAATGCAAATTTAAGAATTCACTTTCTGTTCTCACTACTTTGTTTGGCATGCAACTGGCATTAAAGGCATCTAGAATATAGGGTAATGTGTGCACAATGGGCTTCCCCAACTAAGCAAATTATTATACATTTCAGACTGTCGTTCATACCCTACTCTAATCTTTAACTATGTGCATTACATTACGATAACGGTAGGAATTCTTTTTTCATAGTCTGCACGTCGAAAATCCAATCCCGAGTTTTGTCGGTATTAAATATCCTTACAGCTTATATAGTGGATTTTTTGCTGTCCTGGTGAATAATACTATTATTTTGAAAACATATGCACAGATATTAAACATCTGTAAATTCTTATTTTATCGGTTTAACATTCATTCCTATTTTTAATAGGGTACCTACTTAATATCGTCGAATTAAGTTAGAAAGGTAGATAATGGCAGTTAATTTTGACTTTTATTATTGATATATGATATAAAATGAATATTAAGGACAGACGAGACGTTCTTTAAAAATATATTATTTTTTCCAAGATTTTGTCATTGAAGAGTTACTGCTTTAACATGTTTACAAACAAAAATATGAGGCATCTTACAATACATTTGTGCGAGATACCACAGAATGGCATTTCTTATATAATCCTTTAGGAAAAAAACTTAATTTGCCAAAATCAAATTTTTATTGTTTCATTTTTTTTAAATCAATTAGAAACCGCCTCAGAAATCAGAAAGTAATAATAAAAAAGGTGCATATTTTTAATAAATTATGGAGATATACAAAACAGATTTTTAGGGAACGTCTGAACTTAAATGTACTTTGTAAATGAAAAGTTTTACTTACAATATTGTTGTCGACTCGGTTTTAACCTCTTTTCCTTCGTTTTGTATAAGGTATGGAGTCAGGTTTATCATCTTATGACACTGGGCAACTTTAAGAAACCAAGTACAACAAAATATATATTTGTATGTTCTCATTTATAATTATATTATTCTAATATTCAGCATGGAGATGAGATTTATTGATACGGTAGGCATACGGAGTATATATATCTCAGTTGATTCGATACGGAAGAGCATGCTCTACGTGTGAACAATTTCTTAAACGAGGTAAATTATTGACAAGCAAGTTGATGAAACAAGAATATCAACAGTCTCGTTTAAAGTCATCATTTCGTAAGTTCTTTGGTCGATACAATGACCTTGTCAGCCAATACAATTTATCATTGCGTCAAATGCTGACTGACGTTTTTCATACCAATTGTTAGTCCATTATTTATCCACTGAATGGACGACGGATTTTTCCGTTATTTCCTAATCATGACAACGAGCACACGGCGCGTGTGACCGGTCGACGGGGGATGCTCACTCCTCCATGGAACCTGATCCCACCTCTGATTTTTCGTGTTTGCTCTGCTCTTATTTTGTATATTGTTTAATGAACTTTGAGATTGAATACTGTTCGTTATTTCCATATCCTTCTTGAAAAGAAAGGCACATAAAAAAATTTATATATTCATTTTGGATAATATACACATTGAAATCCTCACCGAGATGTGCATTTGTTGATAAAAATTTTTTTGGACATGGCTTTGTAACCTTGGTGCATTTCGGTTTTTTAGTCAGACGCAGTGTTGAAAAATCAGCATCATACACCAAACAAGCGTCTGTAAAACACAAAAGTAGTCGTTTGTCCATTTGATTAAAATTATTTCAAAGATCTTGAACCTCAGAGATTTCTACTTACCATGGATATCCATTTCAACTGCACATACTTCCACTAATGCTCTCGTTTGGAGACTATAAAGACAGTGATACTTAAACTCTAGTGGATTTGGGGTGCAATTTTGTCTCAGTCCTACTCCTAAACACTTTTTTATTCTTGCTGCTTTTTGTGTCCCTTCTTCGGAATCAGGGCATGAGGACACATTTTTAACCGTTAATGCAGACCAGGTACAAGGATGAATCGAAAAGTTTGATCTCTACAAAAAATTATCGATAAAAGCTAAATAATTTATTTCATCACTCATTATTAAAATAACGTACAGCAAATTTTGACTAAGTTATTTATGATACATATATAGGGACCAAATTACGTTTCCAGCTTTCTCTTTAAACAAATTTACAGTGGTCAATCTCTTTTATTTCGGCACATTTTCTCCCGTAAAAAAATAATTATAAGATTTGTTTATTTCGGGTCACAAAGTTTATTCTTTTCAGATTTTTCCTTGCCCTTATTTTTTTTTTTTTTTTTAGAAATTTATAAGAAGGGACTTTTTAAGAAAAAAGTTTTTAATATGTACTGTTCCCTAGCAAAAGGAAGTTTTTCTTTTTTTATACGAATAAGGTCAATTTACTTTTGAATTCGTTGTATGCAAAAGAAAGTTATTTTTCAAGGCAAAGGAAATGCACGATTTTCAAAATTAATTTGGGTTACAGTCATTCAGAAACTTATGAGTTATTGACGGGATATATCAATTTCACAAAATGTCTCGGAGATTTAAAATGATTTAGAAAAAAACTTAAATGCAATTTATTAACTGAAGAAATTATTTTATACCTATAGTAGACTGAAATACCTGTGAGTGAAAAAGTTTCAGAACTATCTTCATGAAATGTAAAAAGTCACTTACTATGGTCCTTTTACAAGTCATTGTTTTGGGATAATATTAACTTACTACAACAAAGCAGATAATAAATGCAATCGTCTTTAATTTCCAAAGTCTTCCCATTTTTGTAATCTGAAAATAAAAGATAAAAAACAACTAATGAAACGTACAAAAATCATCTAAGAATAACATAGTGACAAACAATCAAAACTAGATGCTGTCATGAGACAGTAATACCCGCACTAAGGTGTTTACCTCTAAATGCACACTCCTTTAAATTGGGCTTTACCAAGGAAAAAGTCAATATAATTCAATAATTTACATAATAGGGCCTCCATGTATTCATCAAATTGAGCATAATATTCTCAAGTGACCATGTGACCCATAGACCTCGATCTTATATTCGTAATTCATTACCAGTCTGAAATTAAACAACAGAATTTAATTAATGATGTAAATTATGTTTGCTAAAGGGGGGGGGGGTATAAATTTTTGGCCCATAATAGGAACTCTTTAAATCTATTTTCTCATATAGATCAACAACAAATGATATTATTCAAATTAGTGTAAAGCGTTTTTGATGATTTTTTTCAAAATGTACAAACGTTTTTATATTTGATTAGGCAGAAACACTTTCAAAGCTGCCATATACCATGTATACCCAATCAATTTAGTCACCCTCCACCCCTCTCCCATCAACACATCAACACACACACAAACACACCCTATTTTCCTGTTTTTAGAAATAGGCCTAGATGGCAAAGTTAAGATAAAACATCTTTTGTAAATAATAATTTTAAATTTGTTCTTTTACTATAAATGTATCTGAAGACCTGCATCACATTGGGCTTGCGTCACGTACCCAACTTAAGTACAAGTTTTACCATTATCATTTTTAGATAGCACTGCACATGCAGTACTAGTGTTGTGTACACATAATTGCATGTATGTCAGTAAGAATTATTTTGTATTTTAATTGGATTATACTTCAAGTTAATGGGACCTATGGCAGTCGGTAAGTACAAGTTTTGGTATAGATTTGGGTAAAATAGTCTGAAATGCAACTGGTTAGGTTAAAGTTTAAAGGATCAAAGGCCTTCCGATGCTGCAATAAGACGAATTTCACATTCTGAAGAGTTATCGCCCGTTATCGACGTTACATTCAGCTACAAGATACAGAATTTTTTTCTGGGAGGGGGGATTTCCAGACCAGAATTTCCTGAGAAGCAAATAAAAGAAGTTATGGTGCATGGTGTCTGTTTTCTAGGGTGGAGGGCATCTAAAATCTTTTTTATTTGCTTCAGTATATATTATAGTCCTGCAAATTCGAGGGGGGGGGTCTCCCAAGCCACTCCCTGTCCCTGTAAACAGTAATGGCAAATGATCATGTGACTCCTAAATAGTAGGAAACTTTTTCCATTTGACTATACATAATTTTGCTTTTTGTGTTATTATGTTATGTAAATTCAATGGTATAAAGGGTTTAAACGCCCTGGAGGTCATACTCACTCTCCTAATGAGTCTAACTGGAAATGTTCAGAATATGAATGCATTAAATTCAATAAAAGTGCATCAATGATAAGATTGCTTTACATTTTATTCATCAACCTATCCTCCTAGAATTAGGAATGAAAATCATTCAAAGAGATGGACCACATTAAAGTATTTGTATATAGGCTATTAACTTTTTTTTAAATGTAAAAACAAGTAGTAGTTTGCATACATGTCATGAATAAACAGGGATCTGGGATGGGGTGAGGGGAAGGAAGGAGTTCATGTCTTTTTACGCCTTAATGGTTGAAAACTCCTAAAATGAATGTTGACATCAAATCTGACTTGTCCTCATTATTTTTCAAGTGGTGGTGTCTCCATTTGAGTAAAAAATTCCTGAGAGGGATGTTTAACAACAAACAAACAATTAAATGACATAAAAACACAATATTGATTTGCGTTAAGAAATATACAGGGGATTTTTTCCATCATAAATCTTCTCAAGAACAGCAAGGGCATTATTGTCCCCCATTTTGGGGGAAAGGGAGGGAACAACAAATCTTATCTGTCTGTCAGTCTGGCCATCTTTGACAGTATGTGTCACAATAAATTTAACCTTGGTCATAACTTTTGAATAATAAGAGATAGGGCTTTCATATTTCACATGTACATTACCACAAAAATTTCTAAATGTACTATATGATTTTTTAACCCAAGTGAGACAGTGACTTAAAATTTTACCTACTTTCCAAAAAAATAACATTTTAAATTAATCATTTTGAAAGAGAAAAGATATGGCATTTAAATTATACATGTATAATACATGTGAAAAGACTTTTCTAAATATATCATGACTTTTGACTCTGTGATCTTGACCTAGAAGTTTAACCTACTTTTCAAAAATATTATATTATAATATATATATATATATATATATATATATATATATATATATATATATATATATATATATATATATATATATATATATATATATATATATATATATATATATATATATATATATATATATATAACTTATGATTGAAAAGAGATGGGACTTTCATATTTGACATGTACTTTACCTGCAACAAAATATTTCGAGCATGCGATGATTTCCCCTCTTTGACCTAATTTATATAAAGTGACATATGATAGGGGTGCATATTTGACACACAATCTGCCATAAATTATGGAATCCCATTCACTTAAACACAGAAAGCAGAGGACCACATTTCTTTGAATTTGCTTGTATAATCTTGATATAGAAACATCCTCATATAATGTAGATTCAAGTTTTTTATGCTACGCCATGATTCGGAATACATGTATTAGTTTTTGTCATGTCCGTCCTCCACCCTTCCATCTGTCTTTCCATCGAGCTCAGAGACTTTCTAGATATTTTTATCAAAGTTCATATGTTGATGCATATACTGGTGTAAACTGTCCAACTGCGGCAATATTTTTTTACCTTGACTTTCCTTTGACCTTCACTTAACTTTTTTTAAAATTAGTGTTTAGCTTTATTTTAAAGAAACCATAATGATTCAAGTTGTGTAATGAAACTTCACATGATGATACGTACAGATTTAAGCTTAAAATGCTTCACTCTTTTTTTACCTTGACATTTCCTGTGACCTTGACCTCACTTTTCTAAATTAATGTCTTAGACTAGATCAGTTTTGAATAAAAAATTCAAGATATATTTATCAAACTTCATATGCTATTACATACTGATGAGAGCTATTATTGCATTTGAACTTATTTTGATCTTGAATTTTCTTTTGACCTTGACCTCACTTTTTAAAATATGTGTTTATCTAAGTTTTAAATAAACCATTAATTATATTTTAATCAAACTTCATATGCTAATAGTAAATTCACACTGATGTAAGCTTTTCAGCTAGAACAACATTTTGACCCAAACCTTTCCTTTGACCTCTCTTTTCTTAAAACAAAGTGTTAAGCTCAGTTTCATTAAATCATTCAAGATATTTTTATCAAACATAAAATATGCTGATATGTATTAGTGAGAGCTATTCAGCTGCATCAAAAACTTCATCTTGCACATTCCTGTGACCCTGACCTCCCTCCTCTTTAATTTGTATTTTGCTTAGTTTTAAAGGAATAATTTAAGACATTTTTATGTTTAGCATGCACTTATACATAATTTGATGAGAATTTATTATCTATATCCAATTTATTTATATTTTAGTTTCAATTCTGAAAAAAAAAACTGTTTAAGATATTTTCATCAAACTTTATACACTAATACAAATTTTCATGTACCATTAGTAATACACATCTGGCGGGACATTCATGTCCTATAGACATATTTCTAGTTTTTCAAATCATCACCTCAGGCTAGGGTCAGGCCACAATTAGGGATCAAAGTTTTATTTAGGAATAAAAGGAAACACATCTTCAAAATTCTTCTTTTCAAGAACACCAAGAGCATGATTAATATGGAAATATTCTCAAGAGGTGTAGATTCAAGTTTGTACAAATCATGTCCACCAGGATTAGGGAGGGGCCATATTTTTCCTGCCCCTTTTTGCCATCCACATGAAAATTCAAATTTTGAAACCATTTTACTTATACGCAAAATGATCATGTTCTTGAAAGCAGGGTGATTAAACATATCAAATATATGTAAAAAAAAATTCTACCCCGATTTGCCCCCCCCCCCCCCCCGGGCAAAATGAAAATTCCAAAACCTTACTGCACATCTACATGACACCACCAACCATCTCTTAAAAGATGATTAGGCTACTGAGTAAAATGTAAGAGGAGTTTAGGGAAGACGGGGATTTTTGCATTAAAAAAATCAATTTTTGATCCTCATTTGACCCCCCGGGGCAAAATCAAAATTCCGAAAGCTTACTCCACATCTACATGACACCACCAACCAACTCCCAAAAAATGACCAAGCTTCTGTGTAAAATGTAGAAGGAGTTCAGGGAAGATGGTGCTTTTACCATAAAAAACGTCATTTTTCGACCCCCATTTGATCGCCTGGGGCAAAATCAAAATTCCGAAACTTTACTGCACATCTACATGAAACCACTAACCATCTTTCAAAAGACGATTAGGCTGCTGTGTAAAATGTAGATGGAGTTAATGATAGAAGGTGCTTTTTGCATAAAAAAACATCATTTTTCGACCCCCATTTGACCTCCTGGGGCAAAATCAAAATTCCAAAACCTTACTGCACATCTAAATGACACCACCAAACATCTCTTAAAAGATGATTAGGTTACTTAGTCAAATGTAAGAGAGGAGTTCAGAGAAGACGGTGCTTTTTACATAAATAACGTCATTTTTCTACCCCCATTGGAATAAAGAAGAAGGGAAGACGGGGCTTTTAGCATAAAAAACGTCATTATTCGACCCCCATTTGATCCCCTGGGGAAAATCAAAATTTCGAAACCTTACTGCACATCTACATGCGACCACCAACCATCTCTTAAAAGATGATTAGGCTGCTGAGTAAAATGTAGAAGGAGTTCAGGGAAGACGGGGCTTTTAGCATAAAAAACGTCATTTTTCGACCCCCATTTGATCCCCCGGGGCAAAATCAAAATTCCAAAACCTTACTGCACATCAACATGACAACCCCAACCATCTCCGAAAAGATGATT